GTGAGGAAGAACTTGTTGACTGTGAGGGTGCCCGAGCCCTGGCCCAGGCTGCCCAGGGGGGCTGTGGAGTCTCCTTCTCTGGAGATCTTCAACCCCTGCCTGGACGCTGTCCTGTGCCCCCTGCTCTGGGTGAGCCTGCTTGGGCAGGGGGGTGGCACTGGGTGAGCTCCGGAGGGCCCTGCCAGCCCCGGCCATGCTGGGATTCTGGGATTCTGTGATTCTGTGACGTGCAGAGGCAGTGACAAAGCATGTCCCAGGCTAAAAATAAAGCCCACGTTGGGTATTTGCCGTCAGATCACCTCCCCTGCCAGCTCCCTGCCAGGCAGCCGGGGATGCAGTGACAAAGTCACCTCCTGGGGACGTGCTTTGGTAGCCCCCGGGCTCCCTGGCTGCGGCCGCTGCGTTTCACAGTCCGGGGAGAAGGGGAACCCCTGTTGGGGACCCCCCCGTAGGGTTTGGTGCTGGGACTGTGCCGTGCAGGGATTCAAGCCCAGGGGTTTCTCTGCATGGCAGGGTGGCTGGAAGGATGAGTCCCTCTTGGAAGTCTTGGCCAGAGCAAAGAAAATCAGGGAGATTTATTTGCAGCGCCGGCTTTGACGTGAGGGAGAAGCTCGCGGGCGCTTCAAGGACAGGGTTATGGAGCTCCTCCGGCATCTGCGGGAGGGGGCTGGTGGTGCCGAGGGGCCCAGGCTGATGGTGAGGGACCGCGGTGGGGGGGTCCCAAGAGTGTGAAAAGGCAATAAAAAAAAAAAAGCAAACAAAGCAAACAAAAAAAAAAAGTCCTCCCTTGTCATCTTAAATGTTCGACTCTTGGCGTTGGCCACGGTCCAGATCCCTCAGCAAAGGAGGATTTGGGCTGGGCTGGCCCGGGTGGGGGCTGTGAGCTGGAGAGAGAGGGCAGGGGTGCTCCGGGAACCCCCCCCAACGTCACCAGAGAGCTCCTGGGATACCCATGGCCCCCTCTGCCGCCCGGCCGGGGGGCGGATGCTCTGTTACACCCACAGCATCCCCCCAGGTGCCTAAAAACATCTTCAGGATCAGACCCTGGACCTGTGAGGGGCGACCCTCCCTGGGAGACCCTCGCAGCCGTGCCAGGGTCAGCGCGCAAAGCCCTTCCCGGGAGGCAAGCGAGATTTGGTGGAAATGACGCCATGGATGTATTTTGTCTTATAGTTCGAGGAACTCGACGTCTCTTGGTGTCTGGGCTCTGCATTCCTGGCACAAAGCGCGATTCTGTGGCTGCTGCACACAACCTCCCCCACCCCCCCCCGTAAACGCTGCGGGGTTGATCTTGGCCAAGGAACAAGCCCTAAAAAGCAGGCGCGGCGCTGTCTCGCCGTGAAAGATGAGTTTAAAGGGATTTTAGTAATGCACTAAAATGCACGAGGGCTTTCCTCGATGTGTTAAAACCCCGCTTTTGGAGGGGGGCAGTAGTTAGCCCCCGCCAGCATGCCCCAACTGGATGAAGTGCGCGGGCTGGGGAGCAAGATGGAGGTACAAAAGGGTCGATTCACGTTGGATGTCAGCGAGTGGGGGGAAAAAAGTCAATTAAAAGCTGCTAAAAAAACCATCTCTGGGTTTCCAAAAGAGCCGCTGCAAAAAGCCCTGCGCTGCTGGGGTGTTTTTGGGTTTTGGGTCGGGTATGGAAGCAGGCAGGGGTTGGTTATGAACCAGCGAGGAGGAAAGAGCCCGGGGTGCGGCTGGGGGGGAGCGGGAACGGGGCTGGGCTGGGCCTCCCGCCTCTGCCCTC